AGAATTGAATTTCTGGGAAATTCACTTTCATTTGACATTTTAAACGAGTTGGAATAAACGCAACAAACTTTGAAAAAATCGAAGTCGTTTTAATAGTGACGATTTCGCTGCCGTCGCCGTCGCCGTCGCCGTCGTCCTTCGACTGAAGCTCCCTAATTCTGTCGCCGCGACAAGATGCATGAAATTTACTAAGCAGAGCGGGACAAAACTTGATAAAGACTTTCAATGTATCTCATGTATTTAGTGACATGAGGGGACGAGTTACAGGGACATTTACGTCCCCGATAGTATGTCCCAGCCTCTTCATTTTTAGATGGTAAGGTTTTTACAGTTTCAGTTGATTGACTGTACTTTAATTTCCATCCCGTCCAAACACAACAGCCTCTATTCCCTTTTAACTCTTTCGAGAAAACAGGCCCATTAAAGAGCAAAATAAGAATTGCGAGAGAACGAGGGTGTAGAAAACAAATTAGTGAAACCGGGTGAACCTTAGGAGTCTTGCGGCGGATGTGCATACGGAACTGAATATTATTCGATCAGCAAGAGACTGAGAAGTAATCTTGTAGTTTTGCAATATTTAATGTATCCATGAACTACTATTACCATGATCTCGTTTTGCTTGACGATGTATCTAGTTCTGTATGAGAACTGTATGTTTGAGGGTTTTATAATAATATTGAGATTTAGCGAGAATGTGACTCATGCTTTCATATTTTTAGGTTGTTTAGTAGCCGCAAGAGATAAATAATACATTCAGCCCTCTGCTCTCTTGTGTGATCTTTGCCTTAGAAAGTCTATTGCCAAAGGGGTGTTTACAGTGGTTTAGCCCCTAAATTTCTCCTTGACATCATTTATTTGAATACCAGTTACTAGTACCAGAAGAAGACAGTTCAGCGTAGATAGATATCACACTAAGTTGAATAAAACTGCTGACCCCAAATAACGGTGAAAGCGCGCGAATTGGACGTGCGATGGTCCGTGCGATGCTTACTAAAATTTAGTGTTTTTGTATAAATCTCTGAAACGCAACTTATTTCAACCAGCGAATGTTAAACGTATTTGGACCCTTAACTGTCTATGATAGACACCTTGGACTTGGCAAAAGGCATCGATATGGTTGTGTACCACAAATTCTGTCAGACGTGAACTGGAACACTCAAGCACTGACATTGATTTGCATAATTTTTGGAGCCGACGGCGATTCATCTGTCTAGTCTTTTCACATCAAAGCCGCAAAGAATACAACTTGTCTAGCAAGAGTAAATACATATTAAAGGGGCTGTGTCACGGCGGTCCAGTTCATTTTGTTTAATTTTGCCAATTACTCGCCCTCAATCGCTATGGAACTGAAAGTCAGCAAAGGAAATACATGTAAATGACAAAATCAGAGACCCGAGACAAACATATATGTCTCCTGAGCATTATTCTTGAAGTTGCAAGCGGCAGGGATCATCCTTGAAAAACTGTTGGGCTGAACAGTTTTCAAAAATCCTAATTTCAGTCCGTTTCAGTCTTCTTCAATTTTGCCCATCCGTGAAATCTGTTGTTTCTGTTATGTTATTTTAATCTTCCTTTAACGTTTTAAGCGGTTATTTTTATGTTTCTCTTAATTCAACGAGCATTTTGTAATTTCCTAATTTGGCTGAATTTCGTGACACAGCTCCTTTAATAGTACTAAGTTTAGAACGCAAATAATCAGTAGAACTTCCGATGGCACAAACGATCGTTCGTGCAATGGTTTGGTTCGGATGGGGAGTCGGTTTCACAATATGTCAAATTTATGGCAGTTCTTTTTCAAAACATTTGGATGAAGTACGGGGTCGGTTTGCTTTCTCAAAATGCCCCCCCCCCCCTTCTTCATGAAATATATTCGCCACCATGAAAATTTTCCTGGTCCATAATAACCTAAAATGTTTAGGTGATTTCCTTTTTTTTATTGCTGTGTTCATTATTTTCCCGCTGCTAATGGTATTTAATTGGGCGGTTGTATTTTAGGTTATTTAAATTATTTTATCAAAATGCCCCCCCCCCCCCTTCATCAATGAATAATATCTGCAGCAATGAATATTTACTGAGTCAATAATAGCTTAAATGTTTAAGGTAGTTCCCATTCATTATGTGCTGTGTTAGTTATTTACCGCTGCTAATGGTAATATATTCGGCGTCTGTATTTCATGGTATTTAAACTAAATTTGACCTAAATCAAGACCCCGAGACGAGTCAATTTTTAGCGAGGCCGAGATTCCTAGACGTTTATTTTAAATGCCGAGATTTCGAGAGTGGGCCAAAATTTTCCGATATAAAGTACTGTATGGTACCTACCTGGCCGCACAACCAAACATAACAATCTTACACAATTTCCGGTTTGTGCTATAAAATAATGTTGGTGTGCTTTTCAGCTTAGAAATTCTGCTACAGGCTTGTGAGAAGCACATACAAACTCGATTTTCTCTTTAGCAATTTCGGTTTTGGAGTATTACACAGCCAGAAATGTTATGTC